AAACTATATGGATTTCTGGAAGGATATTCTTGGTAAAATGACCATAATATTTCGTATAACTATAAATCCAAATTGATATAATAATTAATTAATTATAATAATTTTAATGTAGAAATAAAAGCCAATATGTTGTGGACCCTATTTTGGTCATGATCTCCTTTCTCTGTATAGAAGAGACCTGACCTTGTTTTCGCAAGTTTGCCGTGTTGACAGGGCAACCTCGTTTAATGCACCATACACATTTATATATTTTTATTTATATACATTTAGATACCTGGAAATAATTGCAAATAATAGTACGAAACGGAGGGTTGTGCTGAGAAGATGGCAGGAAGGGGATTATGAATGGGCAAGCAACGGAGACAGTAAAATCAACTGATACGTCCAGCACCTGCGAACTGGCCCGAAGACTGCTCCCACTACTAATGAAATGGAACATTCGTACGATTCAGAAATAGGGGGCAACTCTCTTCTCAATCTTGCCCACACACAACATGAAAAAGTCATTGGATCATTAATATACGCAGTATGTTCACCCTATTTCATTTTAGGTGGTAAGGGGACCGACCGGTAGTTGAATTCACCCACAATGATATGAATAGACAATACGTTTCCATTGAATTTCACATAGCCAAATGGCTGCAGTAAAATGGTAATAAGTCGTCATCTTCGACTCTCTTTCTCATGTATCTTGACTCGAAATAAAAGCCTGTATAAGATTGAAATGTTCAACAAAATGGGCTGATCTGAAGTTTTATTCATGAGCTGCAAGGACTGTGAACAAAAGTACATTGAAGAGACGGAAAGGACAATCAGCACAAGGATTAAAGAACACCATCAACTCTGAAGGAGCTAGGATAAGGAAAGATAAAGACATTGTTCGGACCAGTCGTATAATTCGCTGAAATGCAACAGAATGACTGGCCTCAAATGGATAAAATAAAAGAAGACCAAAGTTCATAGCAGCTGTAGAAATTCTCTTTCAAAGAAACCTAATGAACCGGAGAATGGAAGAGGGAAGAATCAGCGAGAATTTTGCTATCTGCTTGGCAGACTTGGATAAATTCGGTTTTTTAGCAATGACAGGTAAAATGATCAAGGGTATCGACTCAGCAATCGGAAGACAAGCTTAGGGGACAAATGGAACTCAGAAGATTATAGCAATGAGAGGAGTCAAATCTGAAAGAAGCTTAAAATATAGCGTTACTAGGGTGGGCCCAACTCGGTATATAGAAAAAATCTCATGTACCTCTGAATAGTACTCCATTGAGGGGGCCAATTTTAGGATTCTATTTTAATGCAAATTCAAATGGGTGTGCCAGCTGTGGAGGTACTATCTAAGTTGGCCCCCAATATATGGGTTATGTGTGTATGTGCATTTGTATGCATGGCTGTAAGTCTGCACTGAGAGGGGGTTCATTAAATGCCTGACAAGAGTAGCTACTGATGCCACAATGGTTAAATAGAAAATTGCCTTCAATTATCACTTTGAGAAGTTGTAACTGCATCATTAAAGGGAAGTCAATCACTGATGATGCCTACCAAATGTCTAGTGAATGCACCAAATCAACAAAGTCGCCATGTAGCTTAAATCAAAATACAAAAAAGT